GTACCTTCAAAAAGCTCACAGCCTACAGGAAAGTGGCAAATAATTAAAACACAACGTCATAAGTGTTCTGAGAGCATAGTGACAGACACATCAAAATCTACCTCAGGTCCACTCAGGAAAGTTTTACAAGAGAGGTAATGTTTGAGCTGAATCTCAAAGGACAATTAGGAGCTCTCCAGTAGTGAGGACAACACATTTCAAGCAGAATAAATCATATGTGTAAAAGTACTGAGACATGAAAGAGCACAGAAATTTCCAGATATTAAAAATATGTTGGGGTTGCCATGCAATAAGATTAAAAGAAGAGGGCAGAAATGAGGTAATATAGATAAGCAGACCAAAACATGGAGGCTGTGGCCGACATGAAGGAGTATCTTACTGGAATTATAGAATTGCTAAGGGCTTTTAAACAAGGAAATAACATGATCAGATTTGTGTTTGAGAAAGGTCAAGTTGGTAGCATTTTCCACTTGTGAAACAGTAAAAGAGCACATTAGCATAATGGATAAGAGTGTAGCTCTAGGGTCAGGATGACAGGCTTCAAGTTCCAGCTCCAATACAGCTGGAATTCCAGTATAATCGAACGGTGTCCTGCTTGTCTCTGCTTGTCCAGTACCACCTGTAGGACACATGTCAGCTCACTGAATCCTCACAACAATCCCACAAGGTAGGAATTAATATTATCTCCATTTTACAGATAGCCACATTGAATCTCAGAGAGGTAAGAAAGCTACCCACAGCCTTCAAAGCAGACTAACAGTTAAAATTTCAAATCCTGGCTCTGCTACTTACTAGATTAAAAATTGGACAATACTAAAATTATGATCATGATTATTAAAAAGTGAAAAAAACGGATAAAGGAAGACTTCAGCGATAGGGAAAATAAAAAGACCAGTCCAATAGTCAGGCAAGAAACGGTCAACTACTGGATGAAGACAATATGAATGGAAAGGAAATGAATAAAGAGATATTTAGAGATATGATTGACATATCCAGTGATAGATTGGATACTGGAAATGGAGAAGGAAGTGTCAGACGTGACTTCCCAGGTTTCTGGCTTGGATAGCAGAATACATGGTGATGTCAGCTGCTAATATGGAAACAGAGGTGGTTGCTAGAGATGAGCTCTATTCCAGACATGTTGGATTTAAAGTGTTTATGGCACATACAGCCTAGTAAGCCAGTGTAAATTTATGACTAGTGCTAAGGTAGATCTGGAAATACAGATTTAGGAAAATTGGTACTTTGGTAATTGAACACATAGTTATCAATGAAATAGTCCAAAGAAAATGTTTTGAGCAAGAAAAGCAGTAGGCCATGGTAGAACTCCTAAGGCCACAATCATTTAAAGACGGAATGAGGAAGAAGTGTCCATGTAGAAAGCAGCACTCAGTAAGATTCTGACTCATTGACCAGGGCTATCCTTATCACATCCACAGATCAGAAACAGTCTGAGCTTTGGCACTTACCCAGGTTCACTGTATTCATGGTTAACTCACAGACTCAATACCCTGGGCTTTTCTCCCTTCAGTTATTCCCCTAATCATTGTAATTAGGTCTTTTTTCCTTCCCCTGTAGAACCTAGTTATAACCCTCAACTCCTGCTCTACTCTTGGAATATCTTCCTCGAAGTTTTACATTTTGGTTTTTACCCTATCAACCTGCTACGCTGGAATGACATTTCCAAGAATCCTCTTCCCTGTACAGTTCTGGTTTCAAGTTGGCCAAAAATAAATTTTCACAACACCTGGAAGGTAGAAACGAATCAGAAGCCATTACTTTGAAGGTTGCTGTGGCAAGATGTGGTAACAGACAGACACGGAAGTGCCAACGAGTTCCAGCTTGTCCTCACTCTCCTCGACTCTGTCCTGTTCTTTATTGCCAAACTCGCTGGCTAACAGTGGTTGCAGCCCACCACAGACACTTGGCAGCAGACCCACAGAGGCTGTGTTTACACAGAGGCATAGCCTCCCAGAGACCTCCCCACAAGCCCTCCCTCTGCAGTCCCATGTCAGTGGTTGGGTGTTCTTGGCTTCTCAGATTGACTGGCTGGTGAGTCTTAACGTCCTCCAGGTCCTTCGCTTCTCTAGCTCCTCTGACAACTGCATAAGGTCTAATTTGTAATAAATCCCTTATCCCATAATTCATAAAGGCTCTGCTCCCATGACTGAACAATAACTGATATATTGCATCCTCTTGTTCCCTAATTCTGACCTCTATGTCCCGTATTCTGATAAAGAGCACAATTTCCAGTTTCTCTGAAAGGCTACAGGCCATGTTGACCTACAAGAAAAACAACTACCAGAGCAGGAACCCTGTTCTATAGGCTCTTCAAGCCAATAGAATAAAGTTTCAAAATCATTATTATTCTGCACATAAGGCAGCAACACCCTCTATATTAGTCTAATATAGCCTGTTTTCCTAACCTGTCATCTATCCAGCCAGCTGGCCATTTGTTATTAAGTCAGGAAAGTTCTAACACTCTCAAATGTATATAATAATGTCTAGAACTATAAGTATGAATTAGTGTCTATCCTTAAAGAGTTCAAACCATACAAGCAAGTAATTATAATAAAATATGTGCCATATAATATAGAATGTACAATGTGCCATATAATATAGAATGTAGAATGTACAATATGTGCCATATAATACAGAATGTACAATGTACCATTTCCTAAACATTCTCCCTAAATTTTTTTCTTTAATACAGCTTCCTCGGTCTTGAATGCCCTCTTTTACATTTCACATCAAATAAATAAGTAGTTAACAAGTATTTTATTAAAAGATGCTCAACATCACAAATAAAGGAAAACAAAGATAAAACAAGGGAGTGTCATGTTGCATCTAAGATATAAAAACTATATCCCAGCTCATGAATAAGCACTCTTATAACAGTTGGGAAGGAGAAAAAAGGGTATTATGAAGATAAAAATAAAAACTAATAAAATAGAAAAAAAAAAAGGTGAGGGTAAACCAAGTCAAGTTCTTTGAAGGCTTGTATGAAATAAACTGCTGAAAGAAAAGAGATAAGATAGAAATAAACAGCATCTGTAGAGAAGAAGGGAACAAAATTACTGATATCACAGAGAATAAGCCAATAAGGAAAACACTACAAATAATTTAGCAGAGTAAATTTGAAAACTTAAATGAAATGGATAAATTACTAAAAAAAATACAAAATATCAAAACTGAATCAAGAGAAAGCTTGAATAATTCAATCCAATAAACATTAAAAAATATAAATCAGTAGTTAATCATTCCATAAAGAAAATACCAGGTGCTGATGACTTTACAAGCAAGTTCTACCAATAAATATACTGATTTTCTATAAACTTTTCAAATAAACACATAGAAGAAACACTCTTTACTCATTGTATGAGCTTAGCATAACTTTGATAACAAAACCAGACTAGATTAAGAAATAAACATGACAGACTGTGCAGACTTATAAACTAATATCACTTGTGACCCACAGATACGAAATTCTAAATACTACACAAGTGAATCCAGCAATGTATAAAATACATATACATCCTGACCAAATACCAAGAATGCAAGTTTGGTTTATTAATTGAAAGTTGAGTACTCTAATTCACCACATTAACAGATTAAAGAAAAATCATTTGCCATCTTAATAAACACATAAAAAACATTAGATAAAATTTAACATCTTCTATGACAAAAACTCAAAACAGGTTTGAAATCTAGAAGCTGGTGTATGTAAAACCATACAACATCTAATATTGTAATACTGAAAATATTTCCTTTAAGTATAAAAACAAGACAAAGATGCTTGTAACCATCACTCGTATTCAGCATACTAGAGGTCCTAACTAATGCAGAAAACAAAACAAAATAAATGGTAAAAGGATTGGAAGGAAGACATAAAACAGTCATTATTTGCACACAGAAAATTCAAAGGAATCAACAAATTACTAGAATGAGAGAGTTCTAAAAAGAGCATAGCCACAAAAATTTACAAACTAGCCAACTGTATTTCTATCCCCAAGCACAGTTAGCAAATGTAATTTTTAAAATTATACTATTTACAATAGCATCAAAAATGATGAAGTATCTAGGAATAAATCTAATAAATTAAAGACTTTTCCAGAAAAAGTGTACAATTATATTGAAAGACATTGAAGAAGAGCTAAATAAATGAAGAAAATCATGGATAAGAAGATTCAATATTATAAAGACGTCTATTCTTTCTAAATTAAGCTATCAATTCAATGCAATCTCAATCAAAATCCCAGAGTTTTTCAGGAAAATTTACAAGCTGATTCTAAAATGTAAATGTGTCACTTGTTAAGAATAACACGAAAGAACTTATCTGATCAGACACTGACGTTTGATAAAACCATGAGACAATATGGTATTGGTATAGAAATAAACAAAAAGACCAGAATACATCAGAATAGAGAACTCAGAAACAGATCGATATATATACATGGAAAGTTGGTTTAAGACAGATTAAGCTTTAAAGATCAATGGTTAAAGAATGAATTCTTTAATAAAAGGTACTGGACCAATTAATTACTCATTAAGAAAAAATATATATATACCCACAACACAACATTAAGAAAAGTCATAATGAAAGAAAAGGACAAAATGATAAAACTTCATAAAGCAATAGAAGGAAAATGTCTTTATGACTTCAGGATAAAGGACTTCTTAAACCAAAATGATACTAACCATAAAATAAAAGATTCATAAATTCAATAATAATAAAATTAAGAACTCTGTTCAACAAAAGATCCAACACAGAGAATAAAAAGACAAGGTAAAAACTGTTAGATGTTTGCAGCACATAAAATGGCAAAAGATTAGTACAGGGGATAAATAAGTCCTACAAATCAATTTGAAATCCAATACAGAAGAGGGTAAAGACATAAACAGGCATTTTACCATGAGAAAAATTAGTGGCTCAAAAATTTACAAAAAGATGCTCAAGCCCATTAACAATGGGAGAAATGCAAATTAAAGTCACAAGAATGTATCATTTAAATCTCCTATATTTGCAATCTCTAAAAAGTAAGACAACATCAAATGTAGAAGAGGATGAGGAGCATTAGGAAAAATCATCCACTGATAGCAAACACATAAATTGGTACGACCACTTTGGAAACGTTTGGTATTTCTCAAAAAAGTTGAGCATGTGTATACTCTATTACCCAGCATTTCCATTCTTGTGCCAATACTCTGAAACAGTGGTTTTTGCATGTTAGAGTGCATCAGAATCACCTGGAGAGTCTGTTAAACACAGATTGCTGGACTCTTCCCCAGAATTTCTAACTCAGGGGTTGGGACCTGAGAATTTGCATTTCTAAGAAGTTCCAGGTGATGCTGATGCTGTTGGTCTGGGGACCACTCTTTGAGAACCATTGCTATAAAAGAAACTCTTACACATACACATTAGGACATGTACAGAATATTAATAATATACTACCTTGATAACAACAACAAAAAACAAGTATCTTTTAATGGTAGGATGAATAAATTGTGCCATAATCTTACAATGAGATATTATACAGCTGTGAAAACAAATGAGATGAGATCATGGAGAGACATACAGGGCTTCTAAGATACTAGTGATATTCTAGTTTTTAAGCCAGATGGACATTTTCAAAAGTATTCTACTTACTCTTTCAACTGTATATACACATTTTGCATACTCATTTGTACATATATTTAATCATTAAATCTTTGAAGTTCTGCTTCTACCAGCTACTGGCCATTTTTCTATTGCCTAACCCAACACAGAACATGTCAAATTATCTCAGGACTTGAGTAAAAGGGGAACAGTTATTGGATCTCATCTCTCTGACTCTAATGCACACACTTTGCCCACCCCCCACTTCCCCAGTTGCTTCCAACCATTTCTCAAGATATTCTACACCCCCTCAAGTTTCTGATCACTTTTCCATGACTGTAGCCCTCAAAATCAACCACAAGAATTTGATACAAGGCTCCACATGTGATCTTAAAGACACTGTATTAAAATCTCTCTCTGGCTACAAGATTCATTGGTACAGTCTAAAAAGAGTGTTTTTTGCAACTCTATCACAGTGGTTACTCATACTGACTTTATCTTGCCTACTAAAACTTCCAGTAATTTTTCATACATGATGTTGAAGATACACCTCAGAAAGTTGGCCTTTGGGACCAAAAGAATGGACTTCAAAATTTTAAATTCAGCCCTTATAACATCTTTAGATAGATGCTTAGTCTATCATCTATTCTCTGAAGGGTCCTCTGCATCTTACACACTTTATAAATCGAATAAATCATCAGTGATTTTCAAGTCACTGATCAAGAGTTGAACAGGACTGGACCAAGGACAAAAACCTGAGCCATATGACTAAAAGTCTTCCAAATTAATCTGTATCCATTAATGTACTCTCTGGTTAAAACCACTCAGTTGGTCATTAATCTTCCCTCACACTGTCCCATTTTTCCACAAGGATTTTAACAGAAACTGTTATAAAATGTACCATTAAAATCTAAAGAAACTGAATATATAGTTCGCTCTAGTCTTTCAGCCTGGTAACACTATTAGAACAGTACTGATGTCATCTTGGAGCATGATGAGGATCACCCCTAGGGACGACACAATGGGGAAATGGAAGGAAGCTGGTTCCCAACGACCTTGCGGAGCTGTCATTCCTGCCCTGGGCTGCCCTTTGCCAGTATTCTTTTAAGTGGGAGAGAAATAAACTATTTTGTATAAAGAAAAAAAAGCGGGAGGGATTACTCTAATGGATTGAAGTGATCCTAAAAGCAAGAATCCAAGCCTGGAAAGAATAAAGCAGGCCAAAGTACACAGTAATTTTCTTCCAAACAAATTTAATTCTGATCCAGCCCCAAAGAAGGGGAAGGTTGTAAATTTCAAAAATAAAATTAAAATTGCTCAAAAACCAAGCCATAAAAAAATTAAGCCCCCTCCCTTAGCAATAAATACTGAAATGATATATACACATGAGGCTCAGGAAGGAGGCAAGAACAGGAACCTTGGAGACTCTGTCCCATGGCAAGATCCCAATTCCATGCTCTTTACCTAAAACGCAGAAGAGCAACAAAAGAGGCAGGAGAAATACACCAGTGGACTATGTGGCCCCAGAGAGTACTGGACCAGCACAGGAGAAAGAATGGACACAAAGTGTCTTACAGGGCACAGGAAGGGAAGGTTGTCATCTTAAACATCCCCCCATTCCGGTTGAGTCACTGGATATGGCTGGTCCGGCTGCTGGGTGCCCCTGAGCTTATCTCCTCGCTTCCACTGCCTCTTTAACATGCAAGTCAAGGAAGGTCATTCACACTGTGACCGCGATGCCACTGTGGCAGCAGCCTGGCTGCTGGAGCCCTGAGGCTTCCCATTCACCACTAGCAGGAGGGGTGTCTCCACACGAACACTGGAAAAGGAATAGTCCTAGAAAAGACAAATATACAGAGATTCATTATAGATCCTGAGATAGAAGAAACTCCAGCACAGGGATACACCACCTGTGACTTTCTCCCCCTCTCTCCCCTGTCAGTATCTACACCCCTTACCTCCACCTCACATTAAACAAAGCTGAGCTAACAAAGGGGATATAATCTTCCCAAAGTTTTCAATCTTCAGAAGGAAAATCTGGAGCAGGTAGAGTGCTAGTAGTGTCACTACAAGAATGGGACAATTCTCTGATTCAAAAGAAGACAAGCTCCTGGCACTGCCTAAAAAAAGGGTGCCACCAGCTCCCACAAAATCTGCCCTTACCACAATGTTTGTTGACAATTATAACCAGATACACATAGCACTCAGCCAGAGCCAGTGGAAATTCTGAGAAACTCTTAGTCCAGGTGTTTATAAGGCCCTAAATTAATCTGCCAAACATAAATTAAAGTTACTTCTCCTTTTACATCAACATGAAGAACGTGTGGTTTAGACATTCTCCTAATAACAGAAAAGATATCAGCTCACTTTATCAGTTCAAACATACTTTAAGTTGTAAAATACATTGTTAAAAGAGTTTCATCCAAAAAATACTGTTCCACTTGGAGCATGAAGGAGGATCTTTTAAGTCAAAGCAAAGAGGTAAATTAAAGAGTTCTAATAAACCATTCTTTTTTAAACATTTTAACAGGAATATAGGCAAGTGATCCCCAAAAAATGGCTCTTTATGAAAGGAATACAAATAGTCAATAAACATGATAAAATGTTCAACCTCATCAATAATCAAGAAACCAAAACCAAACAATATTCATGCTATATTTTTCATATAAAATCAGCAAAAAATTTTTCAAAGGTTTCTACACAGAGTTGAGAAGAAAACTACAGGGAAAGAATTACTCACATCCACTGTTGGTAATAACTGGTACAACCGCCCCAAAAATAATTTGGCATATGTATCAAAAGTCTTAGAATTCTGCAGACCCTTAGGAGCCAGGATTCTACTTTAGAAATTCTTCTAGGGAAATAATTATGGATAAGGGCAGATACAAAAATATTTACTACGATATTTTTATAATAGGGAAAAATTGGAAATAATCTAGATCTGGGACAGCAAATTTTTTTCTGAAAAGGGCCAAATAATAAATATTTTAGGCTTTGGGGGTCATATGATCTCTGTCACAGAACTATTCAACTCTGACACTGTAACGCAAGAGCAGCCACAGACAATAGTAAACAAATGAGTGTGGCTTTGTTTCAGAAATATTTACTGATGGACACTGAAATTTGAGTTTCTTATAATTTTCCTGTATCACAAATTATTATTATTCTTTCAATTTTTTTCTTTTAAAACTATAGAAACCTTTCCTAGCTCACAAGCCACACAAAAACAGACAAGTGAGCCAGATTTGGTCAATGGGCTATGGTTTGCTTGCCTTCAGTCTAAATGGTGAAAAAGTGGTTAAATACCTACTCTCAGAGAGTTTTTGTGAGGATTAAATGAGCCAGTGCAGGCAGCAAAGCTCTTAGCACAACGTCTAGCAGTCAGTAAAGAGTTCAAGAAATTTTAACTATCATCCTCATCTTTATCACCACCTCCATGTGTCAATTCAAAACAATGTTGTAGAATATGTAAAAACACAAGAAATGTTCATAAACATTTGTATATAATATTCTACTTGTGATTAAAAACATACATATGAATGTGTGTGTATATATTTATGAAAAGGTAAAAGACTGGAGGTATACATACCAAACTGTTAACAGTAATAACATCTGAGTGACAATATTTCAGTCCATTTTTTCTTTTTTTTTTTTTTTTAAGGAAGATGGCCCTGAGCTAACTGCTGCCAATCCTCCTCTTTTTGATGAGGAAGACTGGGCCTGAGCTAACATCCATGCCCATCTTCCTCTACTTTATATGTGGGATGCCTACCACAGCATGGCTTTTGCCAAGCGGTGCCATGTCCACACCCGGGATCCAAATCAGTGAACCCCGGGCCACCGAGAAGCGAAACGTGCAAACTTAACTGCTGCGCCACTGGGCCGGTCCCCTCAGTCCATTTTTTTAAATTTATTTTTATTGAGATAATTGACATGTAACTGTGTAAGTTTAAGGCGGACTAAGTGTTAATTTGATACATTTATATATTGCAATATGATTACCACCGTGGCATTAGCTAACAACATCTCTATCACATCACAAAATTCTTTCTCTTTTGTGGCGGGAACGATTAAGATGCAGTCTCTTCGCAACTCTGAAGTTTTTAATACCACATTGCTGTCTAAAATCCCCGTGCCGTGCATTAGATCTCCAGGACTTCTATCTCCTGGTTGCAAGTTTGTTATCCTTAAACAACATCTCTTCAGTTCCCCCACCCCGTGGTAACCACCACTCTACTCTGGGTTTTCATGAGTTTAGCATTTTTAGATTCCATGTATAAGTGATATTACACAGTACTTGTCTTTGTTCAGTCCATTTTTTTAATTCTTTTTGTTTACCAATAGTTCCCATTTTTAGCAAAAAATGACATACACGTGTATGTGTATATATATATGATATCACACACACATACATACAAGCATTACTTTACACACTTTTTTTAAAGAGATAAACTTGGTCCCACTTTCAGAGCCTATGAGCCGGGAAAGAATCCTAGCCATCACTCACCTTTCCTTTGTGCTGAATTTGGTGAAGCCGAAGGTTGGGCTCAGGGATGGCTACAGAGTCCCCAATGAGCACTCCCCAACTCTGCACCATATTATACACCATCACTGCATAGCAAGGTCCATCTGAATCTACTAGGCCAAAGGTACTGCCAAGTTAGGATGGATTAAGAGATGGGAAGAAAGGGAAAAAGAACAGAAACAGTGGTTTTAAAATATGAGCAAAAGAAACACGTGCTTTCTCAGTTACTTATTTAGAAAACCCAAGACAGGTACTATCATCTACTATGTATGTCTGAGTCCTTCATTTGTCTTAGATATATAATAGTATCTTTTAGAGAACATACACACAACTCATCAATCTGTCACTTTGCCAAGAACTTGGGACATATGCACACCGAGGCCATTCAACAAATATTAATAATAAACTAGCTCAAAATGTTGTAGCTCAAACATTGTTCCTGGTCTAACAATTTAACTATCACAACTTTCATCAAACTCTCTAACCATCACTATCAATTAAATTTAATTCCACAAACCTTCACTGGATACTTATTATGTGTCAGGCATCATGCTTAGCAGTAAGACACCAATCCAGCTATGAGTGAGCTTATAGTCTGGCAGGTGTCAGACAATTAACCATCACTTACAGCACAACTGTGTTAGGTGCTAGAATAACTTTTCCCTTGTGCTGAATTCAGTGATGTCAAAGGCTGGGCTGTAGGAACCCAGAGGAGAAATGTCTAAATCAAAACTGAAAAGCTGGGAAGGTTTCCTTGAAGAGACTCTCAAACTGAATCTTAAAGAATGAAAAATTAGCTGGGTTAAAACAGGAAAACAAATCTTCACTGGAAATAAAAAACCTCCGGGAGGACAGGAACAGGGATTGACTGGGAAGGAACATGAGAGAACTTCCTGGGGTATTGGTAATGTTCTCTATCTTAATAGGCATTTGGGTTACATAGGTGTATGCATTTGTCAAAACTTAACAAATGTATACTAAGATTTGTACATTTCACTGTATGGAAATTTTACAAAAAAAGAAGAAAATTGCAAACAAATACTGAACTCTAGTTAATAATTGCATAGTGAAGTATTCAGAAGAAAGGATACTGATGTCTGCAATTTACTTTGAAACACACCAAAAATAAGATGGGTCAGTGGATGAATATGACAATAGAGAGATATGGGAAAAACTAAGTACAGTAAAATATTAATAGTAGAATATAGGTGGCTGAGTACACAGATGTTCACTGTAAAATTCTTTCAATTTTGCTGTATGTTTGAAAAGTTCTATAATACAATGTTGGGGGAAAAAATGTCATCTATATCAAGAAGCAGCAAAAGCATTATCCAGGCACAGTAACTGTGTAAAGGCACAGAGGCATGAAAATAGCTGTTCTGAAACGTACGAAATAATCCCATGGTTGGAACAAAAGGCAAAAGCGGGAAAGGGACAGAAGATCATGGAAAGAAGTAGGCAGGGAGCAAATCATGAAAGGCGTTGTATGCTAAGCTAAGGAGTTCCAACTATCCTAAAAGTTCCACAGTATCAGTAAAGGATCTTAAATAAGAAACGGCAATGGTCAGATTTGCATCTGGGAAATATTTCTCTGCACTGTGGAACACTGAAGGAAAAGCAGGGAGTCGGGAGACCTGTCTAGAGAAGTGATATGCAGCTGAATTAAGTTAGTAGAGACAGAGAAGTAGGGACAAAAAGGCAAATCCATTGGACTTGATGATTGCCTCAATGCAAGAGAAGAGAGAAGTCTAGAAAACTTCTAGAAGTCTAAATTAACTGACTGACTAGAGGTGGTACCACTGACTGACAAGGAATTCAGGGAGGAGAAGCAGGTTGAGAAAGAGAGATGAGGTAAGCAACTTTGAACACAGTGAGTTAGAGATTTCTGACAGGAGCCCAGAGGCAGTTGGATATAGAATCCAAAACTTAGAAATGAGGCCTGGGCTGGAGATACACCTGCGAGCATAGAAGAAAGCCTTGAATTTATACATCATCAAACAAGATGATCTATAAATGAGATGGTGAAGAATCGGGGCTCATGCCATCAGCCGGCACACCAGAATTCACAGCAAACACTACATCAAACACAGCATTCTCCTGGTGAATCCAGTCAAAGCCTCGGAATCCTTCTACACAGTAAGTCAGGCAGCCACTGCCACGTGATCAAAGCTGGCACTTATTTGCCATCCTGGTATAGAGATAAAAGAGGAAAAGAACAAAAACACAGTCCTCCCATAACTTAACATTTAGAAGTTAAGAAAAAGAGAAACCAAGGAGTGGCAAAATACTTATTTGGTCTCAAGGCCCCCAAAACCTACCTTTGTGTCTCTTTCTCACTTCTCTTAGCTCTAGGGTCTGCTCCAGTTAACTAAACTTTTCTCAACTATCTTCTTGCTCTTCAACTCATAAGTACATATACCTCTACAAAATGCCACGGAGAAAGCTTAGGCACACAATGGGAATTGTGAGCATTTCAGTTTGGATGGAGCAGAAGGGATATGAAACGAAATAGTAGGAGATAGGTCAGAATGTTATGGAGTCAGGTAGCGGAAGCCACTGGATTAGACACTGGTGATCCTAGAAAAAACAATTTCAGTAGAAAACAGAAAAAGGAAGGCAGTCACTCAGGGATTAGGAAGTGAGCGAAGGAGTGATGGCACTAAACTCTAATTTTTCAAGAGATAGAAATTTTCTAAATGAATATTCTTAACTCATTTCCTCTACTAGACTATAAGCATCCTTCACTTGGGTCCTTCACATTTCTTTTTTTTTTTACTCCCTATGACATGTATAGCAGATGCTCAGTAAATAAAATAACATTTGAGACAATCTCCCCACCAGGCCTTAAATTCTCACTCAAAGCTCACCTTCCAGAACTGCCTAGGCATACCTAAGTCCAAACAGGACTGAGAATTCTTCCTCCTTCAACTTCTGTAATCATAAAAACACAAAGAGGTAGGAAAATTTCAAGGTTTCCATCTGTCTTATAAAAAATGTAGCTGTCATATACACACAATGGAATACTACTCGGCCATAAGAAACGATGAAATCTGGCCATTTGTGACAACAAGCATCAACCTTGAGGGTGTTATGCTAAGCAAAATAAGTCAGAGGGAGAAAGTCAAATACCATATGATCTCACTCATAAGTAGAAGATAAAAACAGCAACAAACAACCACACAGAGGCAGAGATTGGACTAGTGGTTACCAGAGGGGAAGGAGGGAGGCAAGAGGGTGAAAGGGGTGACTAGGCACATATGTGTGGTGATGGATTGTAATTAGACTTCGGGTGGTGAACATGATGTAATCTACACAGGAATCAAAACAGAATGATGAACACCTGAAATTTATATAATATTATAAACCAATTTTACTGCAATAAAAAAATTAATTTTTTTAAAAAAGTTAACCCTTATGGCAATACAGGAATCTACAGAGTGGCAAGCTCAGCAAAAAAACGGGTAGTGACAGAATCTACAGAGAGACTGTCAGACATCACCTAATAATACCTGCTCACAGGACATTCAGTCACAGAAGGGAAGCAGAACTTACAAATCTGTGACCACCAACAATGTCCTCAATGTCAGAAAAAGGCTAGGAAGCGAGACCAATTAGTTCAAAAGGATGAAAAAGAGGAAAGGCAAGACAAACTCACAAGGGGACTTTCTCCTCTGTGGTCAGGCTGAACACCACCTTTCCCAGGACCACAGCACCGCTGTTCACACCAGGCTGCAGCGCACTCAGAGGCTTGAGCTCCAGGGACACCTTCTGCCCAGAGGCTGACTGATAGCGCCCAACACCACAAGGGCCTAGATGGGCTGGGCGCAGGCTTCCCAGCATGCTCTGCAACTTTTTGGTCTTAACCTTTCCCTGCAAAGGAAGGGAAAATAGATAAGAAGCTGGAAACTGGTCACTCTCCTTGAGAGTCTACTCCTTCCCTCCCACCACCCACTTCTATACGGTCACTACTACCACAGCATATTTTATTATTTTATTGACTCACAACACAATAAAAAGGTAGGATTCAGCCTTTAGACATCTTTACCTTGCTCTCAAGGAGGCTGGTTAATCTATTCAGGAATTCCAGGAGCTGCTGCTCTCGTTGCTGAGGCTCTGGCCAAGCAGGATCCAGCGCTGCAGCCCGAGAGAAGCCCTCCAGGGCCTCCCCGTAATTCTCTTCATATTTATGTAACTGCACAAGAAGTAACCCAAACCTCCCAATTATAAGTTTATTTAGCACAAACTATGGCAGGGGGGAGTAATGGCACAATGGGCTAGGAATCTAGAGAAATAAACTGTTTTCCTTCTCATTAGTTTTCCTGTTCTACAATGAACAACCTGAGGAGATGATAACACCTACATTCTTCTCCTGGCTAAGGTGATCACAACCCCAAAGAGGGAATCACTTCAAAGTTAACTTCCAAACTCTAAAACAGTGAAATCGCACATGTGGGTCATCCTATTTTTATATTTATAATGAAGATTTCAGAAAAGCCTTCTAAACTGTCCCCTGAATCCTGTATGCACTCTCCCACCTCCTCAGCCCCTTCTCCTTTCCTTCCAGTGACTCCGCCAGATTCTGAAGTCTAACTGAGCTAGCCTAGAAATAATTTGGCTTTCCTCTGACAGTCTGTACCCAACCTTGTCCCTAGGTCAGTTATCCTCACAAGCTAAGACCTAGATGTCTTATTTATATGACTTTCAAATGACCACCAGCCCACAGTTCTCACCGTTGCCCTGTTCAGATGAAGATCAGGATTGCTGGAAGCTGTCCTGTCAACCTTCTCCTACAGTGGGACAAAAAGATCATCAGTGGACCTTGTGTCAGTCTTAAGGACAGCCACACCCACCAGTCCTAGATCTCCTTTCCCTGGAAAACTTCCTGTCTCTTCCTTGTCAAAACATTACCTCTACCCACACTGTTAGACAGTAACTGTTTTTGTGGTATTTTACTCAGTCCCTGAAACGTCAAGGATGTAGGGTTTTTGTATGTCTGTGAAACCTTAAAATATGATAATTTATCCATGCGTTAGTATAAAGATAGAAGAAATATGTGAAAGCATTCTGATAAAAAAAATTTTTTCAAGAGTGAGACGATAATATAAATGAGAAAAACCTAGGAAAGAAATGATGTTGATTTAATGCATTTTCTCTGCCCATGAGTTCCCCTCCAGACACAGACAGAATCACCCAAGCCCCCTTCAAACACACATTAAAAGTCTAATTTTGATTCTCTAATTTAAACGAATGGCCAGAAACCACATGACAGTGCAGACAAATGTGCTGTGAAAAAACTACTGGCTTTGTTCATGGCTATGTTCATCTTATGCTTTTTATTCTATTCATTGCCTGACACCCTGCAACAGCATGAACAACATGAATCAAAATGGTTTAAATGGTTGGTTCGAACATGTTTAAAAATGCATGTCTGGGTGAAGAAATTAAGAGTTAAAAGCAACTATTTAGCAGAAGCCAAATACAAAATTTTAAAGTACACCATATTATTCTTTAAATGTAAACATTCACCAAGTTAACAAAGTAGAGTAAAATATAATTCCTCTGCCTAAAAGTTCCCTGACTGAACAAAGGACAGTACCTGAACTGCAAACATGAATATAAAGTAGCTGTGTTCTTTATTCTGCCACACAGAGCAAAATAAGTAACGGTAAAAAGCAACTTTCTATGTAAAGACAAGCAAAAACGCAAAACAAAGGTGAATATGAGGCCTAAATAAAAAGTGCTCAGAAGGCCAACGTAAACCTTCTAAGAACAAGTAACCAGGCACCTAAAGCCTGAAGGAAACCCCGTGCAAGTGGCTATCAACATAAAAATGGTCTAAAAGCCTAAGCAAAGCATGAGCTCCAGTGAATTAATCCCTAGGAAGTGATGCAGAATGGGCTACACAGTTTTCTACTTTTTTGCCTGTGGGAAACCCAGAGCCATATTATCTAATAGTTAATCTGGGGACAGCACTTAATTTATACTTAGGATTAGAGTTTTCATTTTTCTTTAAAAATGTACATATTAATAAGTATTATTTTAATATAGACTTCCCATTAAAAAGGATGAACATGTTGGGAGGGGTTCTGTGATTTGGTTATACATAACTATAACAAATCTAGACAGCTCAAGGAGATATCTAGCACTGAAGCGCCACAGCAAGTGGCTGCTAATACTCAAGTTATAAGATGAAATAAGTCACCTCTGCGGACATTGGATGCCACCAAACACTGCCCATGCTGCTTGCTAAAGAGCTACAAGGAAGACTGAACAACACTGTTGCTTCTGTTGCCACCTCTGTTCATCTGGCCTGGGTGACCATAAATACTTACTGCTTGGGCATAGGCACTGAGGGCTTGCTGGGAGATCTTAGGGTTCTGGCCAGTATTGAAGTAAAGAGAAAGGTATGCATTCCCCAGAATATCTGAAAGAGAAACACAGGGTTTCTGATTTCAAACATAAGGAGCTTGGAAGTCACCACTCCATCCTAACAAGTAAAAAGCTGAACAGACTGAGAAATCCAGAACTCTTCTTGGATCTGTAAGAAAGAGGACAACACAGGACAAACTGCTGCCCCCAAAATCAGAGAGAAAAAAGGTGAATACAGGGAGTTATGGCTTACCAGAGCAGAAGCTCACCAGCTGCCACAGGAAACAGCAGTGGAGTAGGAAAACCCGAACTAAAATTGACAAATTGCTGGAGGCTCAGAGTAGACAGGTCTGGGAGTTAAAAACTTCAGGGGTCCAAGTCCTACAGGCCCCCCCCAAGTACTGTGAGATTTACCTCCAGGAGTTGAACCAGATTTCCACAGAAAATATGGGAGAAAAATCCCCTTGTACTTCCAGCAGGGGCAGGGAGAAAAGGAACAATTTTGAAACATGCTAGAGCACTCTGTTCTCCAGAAGAAGAAATCTCAGAAGAAACTAGTTAACCAAGAGCCTAACCTGCTGGGTTATTATCAGAGCCTAAGTGACCTGAGGAAGGGAAATAACTAACTCCAGCTGGCTCCAGCCCTCCACATGAGAGAAAGGAAATACTCAGTTCCAGCCCACTCGAGCCATTCTCTCCCACCTAAAGCAGGTGAAAAAAACTGAGAAACACAACAGTGGACCATCTCAGAGCCCAAGTTCAAGATATAACTATTGTGATGACCCTCAAAGCCAATTTGAAAGGCCCTACATTTCACACAAACCAGTGATGACACTATATTTAGTATACTTCAAATTCCAATGGGAGGAAGAGGCAAACATGGACCCAAAGGAGAAACTTGAACAGACTACACAAAAGCCCTGCCTTGCTTCTGTGGAAACATAAGCCTCCTCTCTTAGATGAAAAGATCCAACAGTTCCTAGAACAGTTGCTCATCAAAACACCTTTCAGGCTCTTCAAAACAAAGATGCTTTGGCTTCACACTTAGACTCAGACTCAACAGAATGGGCTCCAGATGATTCTGGTGTGTAGCCATGGTTGAGAACCACTATTCTAAAAGAAACTTGTTGCAGATCTTTTGAGAGCACTCACACCAGGAGCGGCCATCATGGATATCCATCTGCACAGCCAACTTAGCCTGTCGGACACTGTCCATGACATGGCGAGAATGCTCATCTCCAGCATCAGTCCGCAGCTGGCGAAGCACCATTGACAGGTTTTGAAGGGAGACTTTGTTCTTACACTGCAAATGGAGAAAACATATGTATACTCAACCTTCTTGATTCTATTTCCCCTTTTCAGGTCAATTGAATCTCAATCTTCTTCTAAATCTAATTTTTCATCTTAATTCTTACTGCTGTCTCTATCTTAGACCCCCATCTGCAAAGATCAACTTGGTTGCGAACTCTTCTTCACTTCTCATCTACCCCTGAACCTGATCCCATCATCTTCTTCCTTTCTCAGTGCCTGTCCCTGTTTTCCTCACCCAGGTCTGCTCCTCTCATCCTTCCTCCCTTCTGATTCTGTTCTCCTAGTTCCATTACAGTTCTACTCTGATATTCATATCCTAGGGAAACTCACAGAACTAAAGGAATCCCATCCTTCCCATCTCTGTTTTCTGAGGGATAGTGGGCAGCTCACATGGGTGAGGGCTCCTGAGAAGCAGGTGTGGGCAGCTGCAACATCCCCCTTCTTCCAGTACACCTCACCCAGCTGGTTCCAGGCTTCCACCAGGTTGGGCTCCAGCTTCACAGCCTTTGAAAGAAGCTCCTCAGCCTTAGGGCTATAGTCAGGAGTCACATTCAGTGCCTTCCCAGTTAGCATTAGAATCTGTGCTTTGCCCTGGACAGAACCTAGGAGGAAGGGGAAAAGATAAAGGAAAGTGGAAAATCCCAGGCAGTCTTACAGATAAAACCAGGGTACTTTGCCTCAAGGAATAACCCCACGCCAGCTCTAGGAATGAAATAGTTGAGGAAAATCTTTATGAACAAACCACTTATTGAAAGCCTACCATAGGCAGATTACTATGTTAGGTATGGGGTAACAAAGAAAGCATTACTGTACCCTTGAGGGGCTTACAATCTAGTAGAGAGAACAAAGCAGAACATAAAAAGTTAAAACAACAATGAAAAAGAGCATATGGCATGCACCCAGTGAATGGGTTTTAAAAACTGAAAATGGGAAAAGACAAGACCCTCCAGGTATGAAAATGATGTAAATAAGGACAGAGAAGCAGAAATATATATGGCATGTTCATGGGAGAACGGATAGTCCAGCTAAAATGAAACAAAAAGTTCCTCTGCAAGTAAACAGAGAGAGATAAGGGCATAAACAAAAGAAGAGTCATACAATGGAGACTTGAATACCATGTTAAGGGGTTTAGACTTCAACCAGTCAATAGTAGGAATCTTTGAAGATACTGGAGCAAAGAGGCAGAGAAAAGGATAAGATTAAATGCATGAAATAATGATTTAGAAAGATAATTTCCATGGTTGTCATACAATTGATTTAGAAGTAAAAGAAATTAGAGGTAGAAAGGTCAGTTAAGAAGATTACTGCAATAGTTCAAGCAACAAGTACACTCTTTTATTTCATGGCATTTGCTACAATCAAACTTTAGGAAAAGTAGTTTAGAGGAAGGAAAGGTTGCCATCCTGCACAGGGGCCCTTAGAAGAAATACTCTGTTGTACCATCCTGTAGCAGCCACAAAAAGGATACCAAAGAGACTACAGAGAGAGGGAGCAAAACTCTACCACATTTCAGTGAAGGGCAGGGGGTTGCATGTTGTTTGGGACTCATACCCACTACTTCCTCCATCTGCTGCAGGGTCTTCTCCATCTCCTCCCGCACATCCTCTTGCTTCCTCTCAGCATCCTCAACACTATGAGTCTCAAAATAGCAGTCTCGAAATGAATAGAGCTGATCTACCAGTTCCTAGGAAGTGGAAGAATGTTACCATTAAGTGGAGAGAACACCCAACAAGGAAATTTGAGGCTGGCTAGCCATACCAGCTCTTGGCCTAGAAATACTGATCCTCTATCTCACCTAGGAATGAAACAAGAAGCAGGTGGACAGGTCTCTCAAAATGCCACAGATCCTGAGGGAAAGTAGCCAGTGTCCCAGGCCCACTCTCACGTTGTCCCATGCCAGTCTCTGCAGCATGATGATAGTTCTCTCTCCCAGCCCCAATAGGGCTTCCAATATGACTAAGCACTTCACATACCAGAGTCAGGAGGGGGAAACACTTTGCAACTTGAGATAAAACGAAAGTTATTAAAATAATCCTATCTAGTACTGGTCCTCAAAGTATAAAACTTTGAAATTTACCCTTAAAACTGAAGTTGCTAACAAAAAGGATCTTATCCCCAATTTTTCCTATGCTGGTATCTGAAAACACATGACCTTTATGAATATGATAAACATGTGGGAGTCACTGTTTTCCATGACAAACAGACCAATTTAAGCTTGCTAACTTTGGTATTATGGCAGGATTTTGTCTCTTCAAATACTTGTGTTTTGTGTTTTTTGTTTTGCTTTTGTCAAGTCACCTCTGGCTCTCTTGCATTCTTTCCAAATAAATGTTCTCCTTCCTCTTTTAAATCCCTCTATCTCGGGCCGGCCCCGTGGCCGAGTGGTTAAGTTCGCCCGCTCCGCTTCGGAGGCCCAGGGTTTCACCGGTTCGGATCCTGGGCGTGGACATGGCACCGCTCATCAGGCCATGCTGAGGCAGCGTCCCACATGCCACAACTGGAAGGATCCACAACTAAAAATATACAACTATGTACTGGTGGGCTTTGGGGAGAAAAAGGAAACAAAAAAACTCCCTCTATCTCTGAATCTTCCTGTAACACCAGACAAAGCTTTTCCATTATCTATTCTTTCCTGAAACCTAAGAGCAGCAGAAATATATAATATAATTCCAACATGTCTTAACTACCCCCACAGCACATCCTAAATCCACCTACCTGCCTCCATCCCACTATGACTACCCTCAGATAGTTTCCCACTAGAGATAGAATAAAATCTACCTCCTCACATGGCCTCTAGAGAAGACTGTATGATCTGACCTCCCACTACTCACTCCGCCACAAACTTCACTTCTTACCACTCCCCCTCCTACCATACTCAAGCCACACTGGCTTTCATTCACTTCCTCAAATCCACCAAGCTCAATCCCACCTTGGGGTCTTTATACATGCTGTTCCCTCTGCCTGGACACTCTTGCCCCAGATCTGTGCATGGCTCATTCCTCATCATCATTTAGATCTCAGCTCAAATATCAACTTCTCAGAGAGGCTTTTCCTGACTACACAGACTAAAGTAACCCCTTCTTCCTCTGCCCACTGTTAAATCACACTTGTTTTTCTTCATAGTACTTATCATTTGAAATTACATGGCCTATTCATTAACTGTCTACGTTGTCTTTCTCCATCACTGAAATGTAAGCTCCGTGATGGGAAGGACTTAATCTGTTTTGTTTAGAGGTACACCTGAGCACTACAACAGGGTTAGGGACATGATAGGCTCTCATTAAATATGTCGATTGAATGAATTAATCAGTCATCCCTGTCGCTAACAAACACTTATACGCTATACTTAATTTAAAATCCTACCCAGAACAAAGAAAATGGACTAGCACCCTCTGCAGCAGTGCTTTTCAACTTTTATTGTGTGTATTATTTCTAGGACCCAGCCTGAAGAGGTTCTGATTTTAGCAGTTTTAGCAGAACTCAAAATTCTGCATTTTAACAAGCACCCTAGACAATTATAATGAAAATGGCCTGTGAAACACACTTTGAGAAATATCCTTTTATACATTCCTTCTACCCTAAAACGTCTATAACAATGAAATCAAAGCCTACCACGATTCCCATAGATAGCAGTATCACTATCCTTTTCGTCTCCTCTACTCCATTCCCGCATTCCACTCCTGCACCTTTCCCACCCACCCCAAGATACCCCAAGCACCCTCTACCTGGATGCTCAGTGCATTTACCACAAATGAGCTCAGGAAAAGACAGTTCTCAGCAAAAATTACAACCCATTTCCTTTTGCCCTACAATCAGCATGGACACAAATTAGGAATTTTAGAGAGGATCTTATTGTTTGTTTACTTTCAGTTATTAAAGCAAACATGCAAGAAATTTGTATGGTTTTGATTTGCTGGAGTGAACATTTTTAATAACTTTTTTTCATGGCAAAATCAATATATATAAATAGTTGTTAAAATTCAAATAGGTACATGTAAAAAGTACACAGTAAAAAATTCTTCATAATCACGCCCAAACAACCTCAGGGATAACCACTGTTTAGTATGCCTTTTCAGATTTTTTGCAATACATATACAAACGTAGATACACAAACACAATGTTTTCAATATGGAGCCAGGACTGAAAATCTCTGATTGCAGCCAGTCACACTCAGGAATAAAACTAATTTAATCCAAGTCAACTGGAAGTGAAATAAAGCTCACGCTCAAAAATGTGTCATTATTTTAATCTGCTCAAGAAACAAAGAAATCTCATCAATGTTTAAACTTTTGCATTAAGAAGGCTTTAAGCAAGTTACAAGCCTGTCACAGGTCTAAATGTTTAAATTCCAGGCTGTCTTAGAACACAAAGAACTGAGTTTCTGAGGTTTAAGGAATATCGTGGGTTATTAAAAGAAAGGTAAAGAGCCAAACAACTAGTTAGCCCCTCTGTATCAGACCCCAAACTGGAATTGCAGAAGGGTGCAAAAAAATCAAAACTGATAAGTCCTACAGGGAAAAACCAGGACACACGCGGTGCAAAGCCACTACTGTGACTGCTGCCATTTTCAAAGCAGAAAGGTGTATCAAGAGAACATGTGATAATAGCTCCTGCAGATCTACCATACAGATGTGTATGCTATCTGTTACGGGTGAATCGAGAAAAAAACTTGCTAACAATGGGCAGGTATAAAGTTAGGAGCAACAAATCCACTTCAATACAGGACTGAAATTAAGTGCAGTCAGGTCAGCAGCCGGAGGTCCCAATACACCGGCTGCGCCCCTCCCCTGGCCTCCTCTCGGCCCAGCAGGCTAACCTCACCGGCTGCGGCTGCACCCTTGGGAGTTGTTATAGCAACGGCACCGACATATGCAGCGTCGTGTACGTGCCAAGGAATTCGAAGGTACTGCACAAACTGGGCTCCCTGCTTCTTCCCGAGCAACAAAAGCACATGTAAATTTTAATCTATGGCCCCACCTGCAATTTCTGTAAGATCTGCTCAACTTCTTCCTCTTCATCAGCCATCATTTCCCAACCACTCTCCGCTACTCCGCCCCCAACTTTATAACCACAGAGACTCATACTCGCCCCTTCACAGAGTCACAGCGACATCTAGGGCGCTGGAGGCTTACATGCTCCTGAGACAGGAGCTGTTTTTGAAGGACGTCCCTCCGAAACAGCTTATCCCAAAGCCAGTAGCTCAAAGGAGATGCTCTATAAGCACTTTTGAATTAGGAAACTTGTTTCTTTCCCAAATCCTGGAAAAAAAAAATGTTCTCAGCTTAATTGCGTGTATATTTTTGTTTCATATATTCCTACTTATTTATACCAAGATTATAATACCCCTAAAAAGACAGGTTAAGACAGTACATGCCTGTGTTAGAAGTTTAAAATTTTGAAGGGAACGTAGTACAATGGTAAGTATTTTCCAAACTTTACAGTAATTTTCTATATATGAGGAATTTTATCATTTTGAACATACTATCCAAACAAATCGACTACACTTGGGATGGTATTATGGAAGCCATCATTAATACAATAATGGTATATTAGTACGCTAATAATGCTTATATATTGATAGGCTATATACAGAAGGATATATAAGAAACAAGGACTGTCTCTGGAGAGGGGAACAGGACTGAGAGTTGTCAGGGGGCAAAGAAAATTCTTCTCACTATGTACACTTTGAATTTTTTATCATGTACATGTACTACCTATTCAAAAATAACCATAATTTTTAAATAAAAAGTTATTTACTTCCACATAGACTATCTCTGAAAGAGACACAAGACACTGGTAACAGTAATTGCTTCCAGAAAGAGGAAGAGGGGCTGTGGGACAGGAGTGAACAGGAAGACATTTTGCTTTGTCTTTTCTGTACCTTTTGAATTTGTACCATGTGAATGTACTAAACTCTTTAATAAATAAGTTTTTAAAAAGTAGCACGTAATAGTCCTAACAAAGTTTCTTTTTACTTTTTAGTTTTAATTATAGCTTACTTGTACTTCAAATTGATTCTGGGAACATAACAAAGGAAGATGCAAAGGTTCACAGCAGAAATCACGAATGTACATAAAATTATTTCCTCAAACCATTTTCCAACAAAATTTAAAACTGCATAGGGAAGAAAAATACTTATACTGTAATTTATAAAACCTGTGTGATTAGCTATGAAATAGGGAGGGATATTTTAAAACAAGTCAAGATTTTTCATCCTCTTTCTCAGATACCATTTAAACTTTGGAGTACAGTAAAAAATATTTTTGAAGAGATTTTATATTCTATACTTGTAAGGAAGAAAACATTACTTGCTTGCTATTCAATTCTGTAAAGCAAGGGTATTCACTTGCCTTTCCACAATCACTAAATATAAATATCCTCAAAGGATTTCAGCATGACTTTATTATCTAAAAGACAATGGGATTTGGCAATTAGGGTAATTCCATTGTAATTCCTCCCAAACCAATAAGAAGAAGTCATAAAATTTAAGAGTTAGAAAAGGCTGTAAGAGGGCCTGCCCAGTGGCACAGTGGTCAAGTTCCCACATTCCGCTTCTTGGTGGCCTGGGGTTCGCTGGTTAGGATCCCGGGTGTGGACATGGCACCACCTGGCACGCCATGCTGTGGTAGGTGTCCCAGATATAAAGTAGAGGAAGATGGGCACGATGTTAGCTCAGGGCCAGTCTTCCTCAGCAAAAAGAGGACTGGCAGTAGTTAGCTCAGGGCTAACTGTAGCCGCCCCTGACACAGGAAGGGTTAATAATCACTGGAAAAAGCTTGCCAACAAACTGTGACCTGGAGGTGAGAAGGCCGGTTAGCCAATGACGGGTAAGACCCCCCCCCCCCCCGGAGGAGGGCAACCTAAGACAGGCGGCAGCCGCCCGGGGGCACAGATGGAGAAATGATATCGATATGGGGAGCAGGAGGGGCCGTTGCCTAGGAGGCCTTGCATGCTCTGAGAGAAAGTATACGAGCACAGCAATAACATGATAATATCAAAACAGAGGCCAAGGGAGGGCTCCTTGAGAAATCACTAAGAATTCTTGGCATTCGCTAATTACTTCATCCAGAACACCTGTGTATGTTTAACAGATGTAAGCTATGTATATATTGAAACGCTGGTTATAATAAACTCAGAGTGGCCATCAGCCCTCTCCGCATCTATCCTGATGTGTACATTGGATTGCGACACCAACACTAATCTTCCTCAAAAAAAAAAAAAAAAAAGGCTGTAAGGATAATTTAATTCAATCCCTTATTTTACAGATATAGAAACAAAGGCCCAGAAAGTTTAAACTCAAATTCGTCCAACCAACATGTGGAAAAAACCCATAATTAGAACCCAGATGTCTTGCCTCCGTAACTAGTATGCCTTCAAGTCTTTCCTCTAGTAGGGATGTAAAGTTACTGAACATGTCTTTCAAGTTTCCTTCTTACCTCTTCGTTTTAAACAAGTCATCTGTGTTGTAGTCAGAAATGCTCCCTATTTAACAAAGGAAAACAAGGAATCAATCTTTTAAAGTATTTTAATTAGTATAATCTCTTGAGAGCAATAACATATTGGTGAGTTTTCTGCAGTACATTCCTAAATAAATATACACAAGGCAATAGCTGGCAAAAGGGTAAAGAAAGAAGCGATTTTATTTGAAAATAAATGCCAAAAAACCAACTTTACAAAATAACTGTATCAATCTAAATTATTTTTAAATAGAAATAGGAACTGAAAATACATGCATCAAGTTGTACTCTCATTCATTGACATAAGCATATTGCTAAACAAGTTAATAAAATCGCAAATACATAAATATATACAAATAAATGTACACACCCCAAAACAAGCTACAGACTCACCCGCCATTTCCTGAGACCAAAATCTGCACATAAATCTACTAGCAAATACAGCAAAATACCAATGTAAAGGAACACATATACATACATGTATAAATACCAGAACCCAAAGTGACATGTAGACATGTAACATGGGTGCTTATATACATACACATAAACACATAGATCAGTCAGAAATATCCCACACAGAAACAAATGGTGATCTACAAAACATCCAATAATATTGTAACCTTTTCACTAATGGTGAAAACTCAACAAGTCACGATGAAATTGAGTTTAATAAAATGCTCATGCTTTTTGGAATGGAAACAGAAAAAGAAACCAGACTCTAAAGCCATCCCCCACTGCCACTGAAGTTTCTTATAAGTTGAAAATGTGAAGATAACTTTTAATAGCACAGGGAGGTTCTTGACCTTTATCTAGAACAAAGATTCCTTGCTAAATGAAATCACTGAAAGTGAACAGAGAAACATTCTGTAAAATGAGCTAAATTCTTTTTACTTTAAAGGCCCTGCTAGAGACTTGCTGCTGCTCTAATTCACGACTTGGGGAGGCAAAACTGAAAAAGCTGTTGCTGGGTTCAGGTGCTGTGGGAGAACCCACAAAAAATGGTCTGAAGTGAAAATCTCCATCTCCACCACCCTGATTTCGAACTGGTGTACTGTCCAAAGGAAACTTGGAACTGTTCCCTAGGAAAAAAATAAGGGAAAAACTTAGCAGCTATTTCCTTACAGATCTTTAAGAACAAAAAGACAAAAGTCATTCAATAAATATTTTAACAGAACTCAACTCCTATGAGATGAATAAAATATAAGCCTAATGTTGGACAAAGAAAAGGACTATGATGGCCCCTCCCCCTACCATAGTATATACTGGCCTTCTTCTGTGATGCAGTTTCCAATGATAGCCATTACCTCATCACCAAAAGTAATTTGACACAATGAAATATGTTTTTAGTAGAGCTAGAATTTACAATATCTTATTTTATTCATTTGTTATCTATTTAATCTACTTCAAAGGAAAATCATATATATATACATGTGTGTGTATAAAACTTTTTGTCTCAGGTTCTTTTTTAGAATAAATTTTTTAAAAAGACTGCCATAGGGGCCAGCCCAGTGGCGCAGCAGTTAAGTTTGCACATTCCACTTCCGCAGCCCAGGGTTAGCCAGTTCACATCCCAGGTACAGACCTACACACCACTTATCAAGCCATGCTGTGGCAGGCATCTCACATATAAAGTAGAGGAAGACAGACACAGATGTTAGCTCTGAGCCAATCTTCCTCAGCAAAAAAAAAAGAGGAGAGTTGGCGGCAGATGTTAGCTCAGGGCTAACCTTCCTCAGAAAAAAAATATATTGCTATAAACATTCTAGAAAATATATGACAACTATGAAAAACTGGTACATACTCATGACCCAAGATCAATTAGAATAGCCTTAAGAAAAATCAAACAATAAATCTGATTAAATAAGCATTTAACAACTTCCACTGAACACTTCCTTGGATTCTGCAAGTTTTAAAGGGAACATGTAACTAAAGGGGAATGCTGACTGTATCTGCTCCAAGCCAACAATGGTAGCAAGAAGTAAAAGTAAAAAAGTGTGCACAAAAAAATGAACAGGAAAGAATTGGTGAACATGAAAGAAATCAAAATAAATGTGGACAGTGACAAGGAAAAAATAAGAACATCTACAATGCCCATAAACAATAACACTTTGATTGACTAAATTATAATACATGATTAACTGAAAGTTAAGCGGAAACTTGTTTTTGTTTCAATTCTTACATCTGATGTTCCTCATCTAATTACTTCCTGCCTTTTCTAGGCCATCATCTCCTAAATTTTTTTCCTCAGCCTATAGTGAAATTCAAAAAATGAGTATTTTGGAAAATCCAGCAGAAGAATATTTACTTTTTTGTATGTCAAAAATAATTTATATTAATAGTATAGTAAAAATCTATTGGATTCTGTTATAACAAGAGTAGTATATGGGCTGGTCCGGTGGCACAGGGGTTAAGTGCACACATTCCGCTTCGGTGGCCCGGGGTTCACCGGTTCGGATCCCGGGTGCAGACATGGCACTGCTTGGCAAGCCATGCTGTAGTAGGCATCCCACATGTGAAGTAGAGAAAGATGGGCACGGATGTTAGCTCAGGGCCAGTCTTCCTCAGCAAAAGGAGGATTGGTGGCAGATGTTAGCTCAGGGCTAATCTTCCTCAAAAAAACAAACAAAAAAAAAAAGAGTAGTATAAAGTGGAGAGATCAGAAGAGATATGAGATTCATCGCATCTGCCAAGGCACCAAAAAAGCAGAAAAGAGCTGTACCATCCTAGATTGTGCACTTCCAGAAGTCAGGAATCCTATCTGGATAATCTTTATATCCTCATTGCCTAGCATTATGCCTAGCAGGCTGGCATGTGAAACATGTTTGATAAATATTTGATGAATGGATGAATGAATAAACGAAAGAACAAACCAACCAAATAACCAACAATAACTTAAGAAAAGAGCTGTGCAATCAGTATTGCCACATGAAAGAAACTAAAATATGGCCTTCTTGGAGGATAGCAAATGGTTAAGAGTATAGGCTCTAAAGATAGCTCTGTGACCTTGACCAATTTACTTAAACATTCTGTGCCTCAATTTTCTAATCTGTAAATAGGGATAATAATAATACTTACCTCATAAAGTTTTGAAAATAACACAAATACATGTAAAATTATAACAGTGCTTGGCACTCAGGAAGGAATCAATAAATGGCAGCTAATATTATTACTGCAACTAAATAGCTTTTCACTTAAAGTAGCAATTTGCAAACTTTTTTTTTGCAGTGATTTACTCTCTGTTCAAATTGAAGATGTAACTTAAATGTAAGCAAATAAAATGGATAAAAGCAATGATATACAGGTTGAGAAATGGATGAAGAACCTAGAGCCTACCACCATTCTGGCCTTTGGAGTCTCCACTGACTGCTTGGAATTGTGTAGAGTACAGTGTGAAAAATTGCTGATTAAGAACAGATATTGGATATTACACGTCCTTTCTTACCTAAAGGGAAGCCAAAAACACCGGATTGTGTGAATATGGATGGTTCAAGGGTACCTTCTTGGTTAGCAATGGTGATGTTTCGTAGCCTAAGGCTATCATAGAGGCCTTGAAGCTTTTGATACTGGCGATTTCGCTCCATAAGTTTCTCAGAGATGTCACTGAACTTTTTCTTGTATTCTTCTAGCACTTTCTTCATGGAGGTGACCTCCCCTTTCATGGATGTCAATTCCACATCCTTGCTCTGTATTTGCTGAGTATATATCTTCTCCATCTGTTTCAGATGGCCCTCAGCCTTGCTGAAATTGTATTCTTGATAGAGACGCTCCTGATGTACCTGTCCCAAGTGAAAAAAGAAAGATTTTAAGGTATTTATTAAATACAAAGTTATATATTGTAAAACTTTATACAAAGACAAAAAGAAAATAAAGATGCTTATACTGGGATATTATTACTTTAACATTTAGAACCAGGTTAAGAAGCAGTAAGGATGTACGATAGGATGGTTATTATAGAAAATAATGTTATGTCACTAAATATATAGAACAAAAGTCTGGAAGAAAACTCTCAAACCACTACCATTATACCAACAAAAGAAGTGAGTTTTTCTCTAACCTTAACAAGTGACATGTAGTCCAAAGGTTTTTAAGAAATATAATCCTATATTTCAAGTAACCCATTGTATGGATTAACAGATAAGATAGCCCCCAATTATTCCTGCTGCATGGTACTTATATCCTCTCCTTAAGTGTGGACAGGATCTGTGACTAGAATACAGGAAAAATGACAGGATGTCACTTCATGAGTACATTACTTAAGAATATAAAGTCTGTCTTACTAGCCCATTCTCTCTCTTGCTGGCTTTGTGGAAGCAAGCAGCCATGCTGGGAAGGCTAAAAAGGCAAGCAACTGAGAGCAGCCTCTGTGCAACAGCCTGCAAAATACTGAGGTCACAAAGAATCTAAACACAGACTTTACACCCCTCATAAAAATTAACTCAAAACGGATAACAGACCTAAATATAAAACACAAAACTATAAAATTCATATAAGATAACACAGGAGAATATCTAAATGATCTTGAATTTGGTGGTGACTTTTTAGATACAACACCAAAGGCACAATCTATGAAATAACAAACTGATAAGCTGGACTTCATTAAAATTAAAATTTTTTCACTGCGAAAAACAACATCAAGAGAATAAAAAGACAAGCCACAGACTGAGAGAAAATATTTGCAAGACATATCTGATAAAAGACTTAGACAGAGAACTCTTAAAACCCAACAACACAAAAATGAACAACCCAATTAAAAAAATAGACCAGGGGCCAGCCTGATGGCGTAGTGGTTAAGTTGACGTACTCTGCTTCAGCGGCCCAAGGTTCATGGGTTCAGATCCCAGGCACGGACCTATACCCACTCATCAAGCCATGCTGTGGCAATGTCCCACAGACAAAATGGAGGAAGACTGGCACAGATGTTAGCTCAGCAATAATCTTTCTCAAGCAAAAAGAGGATTGGCAAGAGATGTTAGCTCAGGGCCTATATCCTCACCAAAAAAAAAAGGAGAGCAGGGCTAAAAACCTTAACAGACATGTCACCAAAGAAGACATACAGATGGCAAATAAGCATAGGAAAAGATGCTCACCATCATATGTCACCAGGGAAATGCAAATTAAAACAACGAGATATGACTACACACCTGTTAGAATGGCCAAAATCCAGAACACTGACAAAACCAAACTGGCAAGGATCTGGAGCAAAAGGAACTCTCATTCATTGCTGGTAGGAATGCAAAATCTTACAGCCACTCGGGAAGATAGTTTGGCAGTTTCTTACAAAAGTAAACATACTCTTACCATACAATCCAGCAAACGTGCTTCTTGGTATTTACCCAAAGGAGCTAAAGACTTATGTTCTGCACACAGATGTGTAAAGCAGCTTTATTCACAATTACCAAAACTTAGAAATCAATATGTTCTACAGTAGGTGAATGGATAAATAAACTGTGGTACATCTAACAATGGAATATTACTTAACACTAAAAAGAAATGAACTATCAAGCCATGAAAACACATGGAGGAAACAAACACATATTACTAAGTGAAAGAAGCCAATCTGAAAAGGCTACAAACTGTACAATTCCAATTGCGTAGCAGTCTGGAAAAGGCAAAACTATGAAGACAGTAAAAAGATCAGTGGTTGCCAGGGGTGAGGGGGAAAGATGGATAAATAGGTGGTGCACAAAAGATTTTTAGGGCAGTGAAACTACTCTGTATGATACTATCATGGTGGATACATGTCATTATATATTTGCCCAAACTCATAAAATGTACAACACAAAGAGAGAGCCCTAATGTAAACTATGGACTTTGGGTGATAGCCATGTGTCAATATAGGTTCATCATTTGTAACAAACGTACCATTCTGGTCAGGGTTGTTGATAATGGAGGAGGCTATGCATGTGCAAGGGGCAAGGGACATATGGGAAATCTCTGTACTTTCCTCTCAATTTTGCTGTGAACTTAAAACTGCTTAAAAAATAAAGTCCATTAAAAAAAAGAAAACCAAGGCCCTCAGTCTGATACTCCACTAGGAAGTGAATGCTGTCAACAACCACATGAGCTTGGAAGAAGACCCTTCCCCAGTCAAGGTTCAGATGAGACTGCAGCCCCTGTCAACACCTTGATTGCAGTCTTGTGAGACCCTAAGCAGTGTCCACACCTGGACTCTTGATCCACAGAAACTGAGATAATAAATGTCTGTTGTTTTAAGCCACTAAATTTGTTCTTTAAGCCACTAAGCTTGTTACATATCAATAGACAACTACTATAAACAGGATCCAATTCTGGCTTACCTTTGGATTCACTGCCCTTTAAATACTGACAGAAAGTGAAATATGAGCACTCTACTTTTTTTTAACCATTTTTAATTTCCCCATTCTATATAGTTTGATATAACTCCACCAAATCTAGGTTACCTGGCACTACTATGTGGTCTCTTAGAACTCTGTACTTCCCCTATCACTGTAGGCATTAAAAATATATTGTAAATGTCTGTTTTGAGGGGTTTCTTTTAATCTTTTTTTATAAAGGCATGTATTTTGGGGTTTTTTTTGTTTGTTTTTTGAGGAAGACTCGCCTTGAGCTAACATCTGCAAATCCTCCTCTTTTTGCTGAGGAAGACTGGCCCTGAGCTAACATCCGTACCCATCTTCCTCTGTTTTATCTGTGGGACACCTACCACAGCATGGCTTGCCAAGCAGTGCCATGTCCACACCCGGGATTTGAACCGGCAAACCCCAGGCCACCAAGGCGGAACATGTGCACTTAACCGCTGCACCACCGGGCCAGCCCCATTACTAAACTGTATTCTCCTTGAAGCTTATATGTTTTGTTCCTTTTTGTATACCCAGCACCTAAGAAGGTACATGAAACATAAATGTTTCCTGATACTCAAAAAATATATGTTGAATGACTAAGTAGGAAAAAAAATGAATAAATGAAGTAAAGAAAAATTCATTTCTGACTACCTTAATAAGCCATTCACTGGTTTCCACCATATCTGAACAGATGAAAACAATACGACATGTACTTTAAGATATAATGTCTATTCATTCAGTCAATAAGTATTTACCGAGACTTAAGATCAGTTAACTATGATGGTCTCTGAGGACCCAGAGATATACAGGAATCAAAACTTGACCTAAAGAATTCTCCCAACTAAAGGAGATGAACAAGTATATAGGTAATTACAACATAGTATAAATAATACAATAAAGATAAGCATAAGAAGATACAGGAGCTTATAAGAGGGGACACCTTACTCAGAAAAATACAATAAAAATATTTACTTAACAGATAACAAACAGAACCTTTAAGAATCATTATTATAAATGCATACACAGGACATAAATATACTCAAGGACATGATTAAAGTTCTCCACAGGAAGCTCTTTCTAAGAAAACACCAAAGGCAGAAATCATAAAGGGAAAGAGTTAAGGATGTGAATCTAATGATAAGAATGCTCATCACAGCATTTTTAATAACTTATAAACAAATTATGATGTAATGCAATCATTAAAATAATTACATCAAAAACACAAATATTTTCAACTTCTGTATGTCAAAAAGATCAATAAAGACTAAGAAAAGATAAGTGAAGAAACAAAATTTCTTGCAACATCTGAGTTAAGTATATATAAAGAATTTTTGCAAATCAATAGAAAAAACTACAACAACTGAAATAAGCAAACTGAAACAGGCATTTCATAAAATAAAAATAATTTAAAAATATAAGAAAATGCTGTCATCTAAAAGTCACCCACAAAATGCATATTTAAAGAGCAATGAAATTCCATTTTACTCATATCTAATGGATGAGTAGAAGGTGTAGAGACCTACGTCTCCTCATATACTTCTTAGGGAAACACAAATTGATATGATCTAACTGGAGGGTAATTTAAAAACACTGCAATTTTAAAAACTTTGAAATGTATTTATCCACTTTCAAGAATTTAATCTTAGCAAATAATTAAGGATGCGAATTTGATGATAAGAATGCGCATCACAGCATTTTTGTTATAACTTGGAAATAAATTATTATACAATGCAACCAATAAAATTATAATTAAAAGTATTTAATAAAATATTCATAACAGTCATAATATATTGTCAACTTCACCTGGCCACAAAAACAGCATGTACAGTATTATACTATTTTTGTTTAGACAAAATATATATATAAAATATTTATTTATGCACAAAAGTCTAGTAATACACAAACAAAAATATCAACAAGGATTATCTCTGCATGATGAGATTATAGGTGGTTTTTTATTTTCTTGCTTTTGGATTTTCAACAATAAACGTATTACCTTTGTAAAAAAATGAAATTTATTAAAAAGAAAGTTTTCCCTAAATTCATAAAAAATAAATACAAACACAGTGAAGGAAAAACATCAGAAGCTTCCACACAGGCCTCAAAAGTATAGTCTCAGAGAAACCAGCCTGAGCACTAACCTGATACGTCCAGAAGGCCAGTGCTCGGGAGCTAATGTCCAACACAATCTCTGGTCGAAGTCCTGCCAATACCATGGCTTTATATTCCTCTGATGGACTGAGTTCTGTGCGGACAATATCTAGCTTTCCAGAAAGGGTACTATTGCAGGCAGGGCAGATAGCTGGTGAACGACTAAACTCACCACTGCCATGCTGATCACAGAAGATGTGAGAGCAGGCAGTGACCCAGGCATAACCAGAGAGTTTGATGCGACACTTGCGATAATTACAAAGCAGCATGTCTTCACACAAAGACATACTAGCCAGTGAACTCTCCAGACGCTGAAAAGAACCCTAATAAGGGGTAAATGAAAAGGTCAAATAAGTTGAATTGCAGTGAAAGTGAAATAAATAAATAAATACATAACTAATAAATAAAGCATGTTTTTATTTTATTATGATAAAATAAGGTACATTTTATTAGGTTTTTGCATTTATTATAATCATATCGAATTTAGTCACTCAACAATATTAATTCTGCTCCTTCTTGGTGAGAATCACCACAAAGGCCATGAAAAAAAGCTTGAAGGAAAAAGTTAAAGACACAGGTGGTTCCAAATCTTACTAAAGTCAAAAGTACTACGTACAGGGAAAAAAAAGTTTAGGAACATTTACAAAGCACAAACAAATAAAAATTAAATGAGTGCTTTTTGCCATTCCTCAACACCTAAACAAAAATCCAAATGTGCTACCGTTCACAGTTTGCTAGAATATTTTAGTATCACTGCTCACACTCGGCAGATATAAAAGCTGATTTCAGCCATTCTTTAGTGCAAAGTGTTTTAAGTTAAAACATTTTAGGGTTTTCATTGATGCTGATTTCTCAGAGTCTTTACCTGTGTTGCCTTGACTAAAAAAGCGCAGCAACCTGATACCTAATGCATCCAAGTAATTGACCATTATGAAGCCTGAAAATCTGGATAAAAGCAGTTTTTTCACGTGGACAAAGAGAACAGATGAGTGTTACCAGACGGGAAGGGCGTTGGGGGGCGTGAGTGGTGAAGGGGCACATTGATACGGTGACTGACAAACAATAACGTACAACCGAAATTTCACAGTTATACACTATTATGACCCCAATAAAATTTTTAAAAAGCAGCTTCTTATCAATTCAACAATTCACCTATTCATATAAATCCTATTCAATGCTATGCTTCTTATCTAAAACATTCGTAAAACTATATAAATAGCCTCGATTGAGTGACTTTTCCATACGGTGTCCGCTCTCACTGGAGTCTGAGTAACCCAAATGGGCAGCAATCCTCTGGATACACCACAATAAGTCACAGATTGCGTACAGTAACAGCGGCACACCAACTAAACACCAAGGGAGAATGTTCACATTTATCAACTGACAAATCCTGGCAGGAATGTCGCCTTAGTCACAGGGGTCGAGAAGGACGCTCCGCCACTTTCCCCCCGAACGTCCCCGGGCGGGTCCCCACAAGCCCAGCGGCGGCCGCGGAGCCCCACCTCAGCAGGGTAAGGGGCGCAGGGGGCGCGGCCCGGCTGGGAGCACTTCTGCCGCTGACACCCTCCTCGGGCAGAGCGAGAAGGGCGGCTAATTCCCAATTTTCCACCAGGAGGGGGAAGCGGTCAATTTAGCGAGCTGTCCAAATCATGGAGGGCCAAGTTTTTGAGAATTAGACTCACAGAAACTTCCTTCTGGAGTTCTCGGCCTGGTTTCCACGCTCGACAGAGAAAATAATAACAAGATTAATACCAATAAAATACCTAACCTGAGGCACCAAGAAAAAGCGCGGGAAAACGCCGTTGCCTCTACAACTACTTGAGGAGCGAGGATTCACCACGCACGTCGCCCGTGCGTCGGAGAGCGCATGCGCACAGTGCTCCCAGAGCCTGCCGGGCCGGGGGAGCCGGGGTTCTAGCCGATGAGGATCCTGGGAGCCCTCGGGCTGTGGCGCGGGGACTCGGGCTGGTCAGCCACAGGGTAGCCGCGTCTCAGACGGGTGAGGCCGCGAATCGGTCTGCGCCTAGCCTAGGGGAGCCGCGCAGATCCTCTCGTTGTGTGCCCTTTTCAGCGCTTGACTGTGCGGGAGTAAAATCCTGGCTGTCATGGGTATAACATTCGAGGTCAAAGTCTCCTAAGAGCAGAGGGGGGCGCTTGAGAAGGCAACCAGGCCGGCTTGAGGCCCGGCCTGAGTGCGCGCAGGTGTTAGTCCTGGCAAAATTTGGCGACTACCTTAGCCTGGGTGGCACAGGCTAAGTAGTTTCCGGAAAAATTCGCAGAAATTGTGTGATACCTGTAACTGGATAGCTGTCACCTCCGTGTTGAGGTAGATTCTGCCTTTTTAATTTTTTATCCATCTTGAAAGAGACATCTTCCCAGCTTTTACACATCCTGTATATACATTTAAAGCAAATAGAACTGTCCTTGATTTAGAAGTCTGCCTTATGAAACGTTCATTACAGCGCTTGAAATTGAGAGGATCAGCTGTCACATGTTTGTCACATGTTTTTTTCTTTTTTTTGGTGAGGAAGATTGCCCCTGAGCTAACTTCCCTGCCAATCTTCCTCTATTTTATATGTAGGATGCCGCCACAGCAAAGCTTGATGAGTGGTGTGTAGGTCTGTCCGTGTCATCCCTGTAGTCCCCCGCCCCCCAGGGGCCTGCAAACCCAGGCCGCGAAAGTGGAGGTGCGAAGAACATAACCACTAGCCATCTGCTCCGCCCGTCACAGCTTTTTTGAGGTTTTCTGCCTGTGTGCTCTCCTAGACCTGCTTCTAATTATTTAAATGTTTGTACCTGTTTTACCCTAATTACTATTGTTACCTTATTACTTTTTCTTTGCTTGCAGTATGATTTTCTGCCCAATCTCTGAGTCTATTAGAATTCCTATGAGAAATTAAGCTGAGGAGGGCTTGAGGGTTCCTTGGGATATAAGCCTTAATGCTGTTTTTTGTAACCACTTTTCCAGATGATGTGACCCCGAAATAGGTAACAGATACCATCCAATAAGTCAGCAACTCAGTGGACACCAAGCCCAGCTAACCCTTTTATGGGTTATGAATCTATAATACTAAACTTTTCTCCTTTAAACAAAAACCTGTCCTTGTTAAATAACTTTCTGCTAGCTTTTTGTCTGTGCGTAATTTGCTCACTGTAATCAGAAAGGGCCATCTTGGCCTTTGTATACATTTCCCAAAATGTCTTGTGAGTTCAGAGTAGTAACAATTCTAGTGGTGCAAATTGGATTCAAAGAAAATTCGGAGTTCATGTGTAAAGCATGTAATGACATCTATTTTAGCTATCTGAGCCTTTTGTGCGTTTTCTGATTTTAACTATGCCAAATGTGGAAATATTAAAGTACAATAAGTGTACAATCTCATTTAAAGTTATGAAACACAAAGCATTCAAATTCGACCAGTACCTAACTTTGTGATCCTAGCCAAGTTACATTTTCACTGCAATATGTTCCCTTCCTGCTTCTTCAAGATCATCCTATTGATTCCCAAAACCTTAGTGTTCCCCCACACCATTTTCTCTCTAAATCAGTTTCCAATTTCCAACCCATTTGGGTAAAAGCCTGCAGGAATAATACATTTTATATATACACACATTTTGGGGGCGGGGTAGGGGGCCTACATATTTTGCCAGATAGAAAAAAAGGGAGGGAGTTACAAAGTCTTAATATCCCAGTAGTCTGGAACACTGGGAACTGACAAACCTTCTTGGTGGCATGTGTCCTTTCCTGTCATGGCATAGACAAACCCTTCACTGGTGCTCCTGGGGATGAGACCACCAAAGTCACTCAAGGCTGGGATACAGAGACTCATTCACAAAAAGAGCTTTTTAAAATATTGGCTTTTATTATCAAATATCAAGCATATCAAAAATGTGTGGAGAATCACCATCACTCAGCTTTAATAAACCCAAACCTTTCTCACATTTGCTATTTTTTAATGCAGTAACACTGCAGATACAATTGAAGCATTCCCTGTGTACACCTCAATCTACCTTTCTCCTCCTCCTCTGAAGGTAAACAAACCAGATTTTGGTATTTATGCATGCTTTTACACTTTTAAAAGTGTACACAACACTTTTGCGTGTTCTAAAACTGCTAAATCTTATCACACAGCACATATCACTTGGTCATTTTTAAGTCATCATTATTTTTGAGATGTAATCAAGTTAATACATACTTTATGTTAATTCATTTTAACAGCCAAATACTACAAATATACCACAATTTATTTATCCATCCTTCTAATGGACATTGGTTCCAGGTTTTTACAATTAAAAACAATACCACAGTGAACTTTCTGTATATCTCCTTGAGTACACATGCCAAGAATTCCTATAAAGTATAATACCCAGAGATTGGGTTAGTGTATAAGCATCTTCAAATAAACTAGATGCTGCCAAACCATTCTCCAAAGTAACAGCAAATTTCAGTGACACCAGAAATGATGAGAGCCCAACACTCCAGACTTAGCAATGTGTGGAAGTGTGAGGTTTATGTTGTTTTCATTTTTGCCCATCTAATGGCAGTAAAATTGTATATCAATGTTGTTTTAATGTGCAATTCTTTGATTACTAGTGAGATTAAGCATCTTTTCCTATGAATGACTACTCAGGGATCCTCATCTATGAATTGCCCGTTCATATCCTTTGATCATTTTCTTGATTCATATGGAGTCCTTTGTCAGGTGCAAGGTATGCAAACATTTTAGTGTGCACAAATTTATCACTTTCCTTTTTGTGCTTATATGTACTCCAATGTCACAGTCTTTGCTTTTCTATAGGTTTAAATTTTGCTTTTCACTTATAGATCCTTAATCTATTCTTTCTATGGTAAGGAGTCTGGATAAACTCTGTCAGCACAATTTGTGCTTATAAATTACTTATACCATTTAATTACAGGTTACTTTCACCTTTCAAAACTGGTATTTTTACCATGAAGTTTGATTTTGATCTTGCATAGATATTCTAAGTAAATATCAGGTATATTATGAGTATTTACATACCATATTTCTCCAAGAGTTTGAGATAATTATTCCGTTATCTTTGAATCTTAGACTGTTAGCATCATCTACTCTAAAACTAATTTGATACTTCTATTTGTTTTAATAGAAGGATCTTAATCTAAAAAATAGATTTCATACTCTAACAGAAGTGATTATAGTTGCATACCATTTGTGTGATTCTGGTATGAGCATGAGTATTAAATCTCATTCCAAAACACAGTGAGATGTACCAGACTTCCATTATTTGAATGAGTATTTGGTACCCTTTGCATGTTAAATATACCCTCATGGATGTAAATACAGTATACAGGGCAAAAACAAGTCCCAAGGTATTAATTTAGCCAAAACAATTAAGAATATTTCAATATTAAATATAAAGCAGAAATAATGACTGTTTAACCGTACATGAGTGGTAAGTGCAATTTCTGTCAGTGATAAATATCCAATAAAGCTATAAATAAACTGTTCATAATAAAAGATTTCCTATTAAATATCAGTAAGCTTTTATATATCTATTCCTTACGTACGTACGTTGTTTTGGCAGTCATTCTTCATTGCCTCTTGAAAGATCAAGTCATAATCAAATATTGAGGTTTTTTTTTTAAGACTGACACCTAAGCTAACATCTGTTGCCAATCTTTTTTCTTCTTCTTCTCCCCAAGACCCCCCAGTACACAGTTGTATACTCTAGTTGTAGGTCCTTGTAGTTGTGCTATGTGGGACGCTGCCTCAGCATGGCTTGATGAGCAGTGTTAGGTCTGCACCTGGGATTCAAAGTAGCAAAACCCTATGCTGCCGAAGTGGAGCATGAGAACCTAACCACTTGGCCAAGGGGCTGGCCTCAAATATTAAGAGTTTTAAGTAGACTTATTATTACCAAGATAGTTTAATGTACCTACATGTACATTTTACATCAGAATCAAAATTTAAGTCCTAGTTATTCCATGTAAATGTCTTGTGGAAATGCCATTACGATGGTTGCCATTTTCCAGAGATTAAAAAAGGAAGAAAAAAAAAAAACCAAGGGAGATTTCCATTCATTTCAACTATTTTTTGAGTATCTATTCTGGGCCAGGCATTAGGGATAAGGAAGTTATTCTGCTTTCATGAAGTTTACAATCTAGCAAAGAATCGAAGGCTGATAGAAAGAAATATTTTACTCTTTCCTTCGCTGCCTCTGACATTTTTGTAAGTTGATTCTACAAACCATTTCTGGTGAGAAGTCAGCTTCCATCTTTAATTTGAAGAATCATCTACCTTCATGCTGCAAAGAAAAAGATATTTTCAACACTGCCCTGAAATGTGTGAACAACCACGCAGTAGAAAACTGAGTAAACCATTTAAAATTTAAACATGAATGACTTCAGAGTATAATATTTCAGTCACCCCTAGAATCAACTGACTAAGAGCTTTTTTCTTTCATAGCCCTAGATCAGTGCTATTCAAATACTACTGTAATCAAAATGTTCTCTATATACTATATCCTCATGTTTTAAAATTAATTTTGTTTTTTGGTTTTTTTTAACCACAGGCACATTTTCTTGGTCTAGAATTACCATCTGCTTTGTAATTGTTTGACTCCGCAAAAATCAGAAGGCACTAACAGACAGCCAACCCATCCCCATGGTGCCCTGAGTGAAGACAAGTCAGCTTTGATATATGATGGACTAAAATCCCACTACCTAAGGCTTCAAGCAGTGAGAGGAACAGCCATCAAAGTTTATCTCCAATCATTTTAGGAAACAGTTAAAGACATTAAGTGACTTGTAGGAATCACTACATCTAAATTTTTAAAGAGTCAGTCAAGAACTAGAAGAAAGTATCAACTGGTCCAGCTAGATACACAAAATGAAGAATTAGATGATAAATTAGTGCCAAGAACAAGATTAATTAATTAAAGAAAATGTTATTGAAACAATTTTATAGGGATACACATTATAGTCCTTATTACCATTCTTTGCCTTATTCTAAAACTAAATTAGGTTTTGGGTGCTAGGGGTAAAGATAATAAGGGATAGGCCAATTGGCAGAAAGATGCTCAGAAGCAATCAAAACAAAGAATTTTGGACAACGTATTGTGCAGGTGTCAGAAACTGCCAAGTCATACAAGGTCTAAGATAAATACACACATGGACTCTGATGATAAAATAGCTAACATCTACTGAGCATTTACCACATGCTTAACAATGTTCTAAACCCCACATGTTTATTACCTAATTCATTCTTCAAAGTCGAGTACTATTCTTTTGACGCAGATACTATTATTATCATCTTCTAAGATATAAAGACACTAAGACACTCAGATCTTAAGAAACTTGCCAAGGGTACATAGCTGGTTAAGTGATGGTGGATGGGTCTGAACCCAGTCTGACTCCAGAATCCATGTGTAACTGCTATACTATGCTACCTGTCAACGTGTTTAATTGACATTATAAACAATACAATTTGTAGCACCTTAGCACCTAACCATGAAGTCACAAAGCTGAATTTTCAAAGATTCATATGTGTGTCAAAACTCTCAGTTTCAACATAAGCCTTACCATAAAAGAAAGATGTTGTCACCATCTATTATATATCCAGGACTCACAGCACCCAGGAGTTCCAGGCTGGGAAAGAAGTGAGACTCAGATCTAGTTTCAGTAACGTGAGATTTCATTTCTGCAAAAGCGAAAAAATCATTTCAAGTGCTGATATTACTTTGAATATTTGTATTTCACCCTCATATGTACCCCATTATCTGCTGAAACATGCAAGCACAGGAAGAGAATATAGGCCTGTCCCATTTAGGTTGCTTAAAATAACTTTAAATTATACAATATGTGAATATAATAAAGTCAGAAAATTCAGGTTAACAAGATTACCAATAGCCCAACTCTAGGACAATAATCCCTACTATCTGAGTACGGATCTTCCTCAACTTACAATAGGGATATGTCCTGATAAACCCATTGTAAGTGGAAAATATTGTTAAGTTGAAAAAGCATTTAACACACCTGACCTACTGAACATCATAGCTTAGCCCAGGCTACCTAAAATGTGCTCAGAACACTTACATTAGCCTACAGTTGGGCAAAATCATCTAACACAAAGCCTATTTTATAATAAAGTGTTGAATATCTCATGTAATTTATTGAAAACTGTAATGAAAGTAAAAAACAGAATGGTTGTATGGGTAAAGAATGGTTGTTAAGTGTGTAAGTTCTTTACCCTCATGATGGCATGGCTAACTGGGAGCTCCAACTCACTGAGAGTATTGAACTGCATATCACTAGCCCAGGCAAACATCAAAATTCAAAATTTGAAGTGTGACTTCTACTGAATGCATATGACTTTTGCACCATTGTAAAGTCGAAAAATCATAAGTTGAACCATTATAAGTTGGGGATCATCTATATATCCTTTCAGACGATTTCTCAAGTAAACATAACTGTATAAAAATGTTTAAGCAGAAAAGGGATTATACATATTGCTCTATAACTTGTTTTTAACTTAATGTATCATGAATACCCTTCCATTCCAAGAAAGATAAACCTGTATTATAACTTTTAAGCAACCATATAGTGTTGCATTATATGAGCTTGACAAAAATTGATTTAACCAACTCTAAGATCCTCTTAATCTTATATATAAACTAATAAAATAATGATTAGTTTAAAAACTGCCAAGATAAGTGTTGACAGAATTCTACCAGTTATCAGTGTTTTATCTGTAGTGTTTGAATTTTTAGATTAAGGATTCTTGACCTTAGTTCTATCTCAAAGAGATATCACAAAAGATCAAGGCACAACAAAGTATTGTATCAAATTCATGATTCAAAGATTTAAGAATCCCCTGGGATCATGGCCTAGATCCCAGTAAGAATTCCAAGAAGCAGAATTCAATTCCAAGTGTTTGCCCTAGCTATAGTCTGCTCAGAGCATGTGTTTAATCAGGGTCATCAGCTGAAACACGGACTTAACATGCATTTCATCATGGCAAACTACAAATGACTGACTGGTAAAGGGCAAACCACTGCCTACTACTTGTCCCTAAACCAGGAAAACCCTGTTAAGATAGAACTAAGGCTTCTTCAACTACCAAATTTCAGCCACAGAGAACACTGAGCACCAAAACTTGCTAGATGATTAGAAATCCAAATGAGGTAAAAATGAAGGTTTTCTTTTACACTTACTTCTGGTATTAGATGAATCCAGCTTCTATCTAGGAATCAAGTTGAACTACAGATCTATCAGCTACCTAGCATCATTTCTGGAAAATAAAAAAATAGTAAGTTAAAAAATACACAAAGGTTATGATTAGAAGACTTAAATGCGCACTGGCCCACTCCACACCAAGCCATACCCACACAGCCTCGAGGAAAATTAACCTCAAGGAAAACTGTTCATTCTTTATTTGAATCTCCATTCAGTAACATAAATTGACCCATCTATTTAGAGAATGTCACCTAATTCCCAAAGTCATTAGATTAAGGTGTGACTTCTGCAAAAGCTCAGCTTTTGGCATAAATTTAAAAGTTTGGGTAAAACTGTACTGTAACTCTAACCAATCTCTGAACGTTTATAAAAGTCAACAGTCTCACAATAAGAGAACAGGTACGCAAAAGGAAGGAGCCAGGTGCTGGTGGCAACCAGAGCTTGGAAACCATGGGAACAAATTCAGGGAGACGGGGCAAAAATGGCATGGATTACTGCCAGCCTCTCCAAGTGCATGGGGTATGTGACTGCAGAAAACACTTGTAACCAGTCATCAAATTCACGAAATCCTAAAAAAAATAAAGCAGGGGTAGGGGAGGAAGGCCGGAGCCAAGAACTCATAAAATTCAGATAAATGAGAAGGTAATCCAAAATAGTAAGTTTTTTTTCAAACATATTTCAATTTCATTTGAGCTAATGCAGATTGCATTTAACCTTTACTCTTGGTAAACTTTTATCACGATAAATTAAAGAAAATCTTCCCTTGACATAGCAAAATTGAATTAGCATCATCTGGAGCCCAAGTCAGCCACAAGACGGCAATATAAGAAAGCAGCTTTCATTTCCTCTTCCAGAGTTTGAATGTAATCTGAACTTTCAGGTGAAACAGACTGGACATGAAGTTCATCCCTGCAAGCAACCTTCAGACTATTCCCTATTCTTCACCTAATTACTAACTAGAATTTTTTTTCTATCACATTTAAGGATCATTTAAAACTTATTAACTAAAAATATTAGTTATACTTTTGTCACATTCCTTTTCATGTAGCAATGTGGAGATTTAAAAATCCATAACCTAAATACAATCTAGCTAGAAAGACATGCTTCATGAAAACTAATGTCCATGGTAAGTACCAAATAAGTGAGAGAGCAAGTTATGAAATGTTAAGAAAAGAAGAATCATTGGTCAAGGAACACTTCATGAAGAAAGAAGATGGGTCTTGAATGAGACTTAAAATTGCACTTAAAATACTGTATTATATATTTGAAAGTTGCTGAGAGTAGATTTTAAAAGTTCTCAGAAGAAAAAAATTTGTAGCTAGGTGTGGTGATGGATCTTAACTAGACTTATTATGGTGATCATTTCACAATATATACAAATATTGAATCATTATGTTGTAGAAGTGAAACTGTTATACGTCAATTATATCTCAATTAAAAAAACCGCACTTTCCAATAGGTAACACCACATGCTGCCATTTAAATAAAAGTTAAATTCCTCAGTCACCCCAGTCACATTTTAATTGGTCAAGAGCCCCACGTGGCTAATGGCTATCATACGGGGCAGTACAAATATAGAACATTTCCATCATCACAGAAAGTTCTGTTGGACAGGAGTGCCTTAAAGGATGGGTATAACTAAAATAAGCTGACAGAAAGGAAGTGGTAATCATTCTTAAAAATCCCTATTATCTGTCAAGAACTATAGAAATCATTTCAGTCAAACTTTACAACAACCTCATATTTACGAGCAAATCTGAGGCTCAGAGAAGTTAAATGAATTTCTTAAGGTCGCCTAGCTATTAAGAGCTAGAATTTAAACCTCATTCTGTCAAAACTCCATATTTTCAATTCACGGTGCCACTACCTACGTGAAATAAGGAGAGCTACAGAAGATGGTTTGCTTAGAATGTATTAAGAATGACATATGGGCTCAGTAGGTCAGAAAGAAACTGAGGTGTTTTAAGGAACCCAGAGATATAATCTGTTATTTTACTCCTTTCTTGTCTTATACTTGAACAATGTTTAATTATGTAAAATGTTTCCAAATCAACAGCATGTGAGATTAACTAAGGAAACGTAGACAGGAAGCAAGATATGAAGTTAGAGGTTTCCATAGTTTTAACAATGTCTACCTCAAAACTCCATGATCCAAGTACTTCTTACAGGAAAATAATTATTGATTTAAAGGTGCAACTTCTCTATTTGTCTCATCTAACAAACAAAACCCAGACTGCAAAGGGCCTGGTCTTTGTGTCCTTGGCACATAGCGCAAAGCCTAGCACATAAATCCTAATATGAAGTATATGATGCCTTTCCCAATGTGTGATGCTCCCTACAGGATTCTAGTCATGCTTCAGCAAGTGTCATTCTACTGCATGAAGGCCATTTCATATACTGAATTATTTAGGGAGCTAAAGTAAATATTTTATAAATACCCCGTAACAACCAATGACCCACTCATTTTGTTCCCTGTGGGCACTAGTAAATGCTTCAAAGTACTGGTGCTTATGGCCAATAGGTACATTTTAAGTATGTGAACAGATGCTTCATGAAGGCCTGATACAAACTGCAAATTGATAATACTCAATCAGCTGACGCTTCCATTTTAAGATTATGTTACCACTCAGTTTTACCTAGCTCCATTCCAGTTTCCTCAGTGCCAAATGTGTATCCAGCATTATGAGATACAATGGTAACTCAAAGAACCTCCTATCTTTTTTAGATGGAAAAGACACATATATGTGATACAGAGAACACTTTAAGGCATCATATCTTGGTCAAAGTTCAAGTACTTGCCTGTATGGTCCCATCAGCCTTTAACCATTCCTACTGAGAATGTTCAGACCCAGGCCCTTGATTTTTAGGGGGTCTGCCGCAGATGTTATAGAGGCTTCCACAGTGCCACTTCTGGACTGGCACACAGGATGCTGAAGACCTAGGCCTGCCTTCCTCAGTGGATTCCATCTTCAACCTGAAGCAAAAGGAAACAATACGAAACTTTGTATAGGAAGTAAATACTAAACTGGTTGCTTGGCATAGTTCTCTTTTAGAGATAGCTCTATAAGTCACTGCTATCAGAACAGACTCCCACGTTTTGTTTTCCACTCATTGTCAGCTATTTTAGGCAAAAATACCAACTGTTTTAACCTCTCAAGTGCAGGAGGAATCCACTCAGAGCATATATGAAATCAAAATGGTGAGATCAGAAATCCTGATGATGCAGCTTATTCCAAGAGACCACCATGGCACTCAGTCCCAGTCCCACTGCTGGTGGAACAAATGAAAATACACTACCTGAGGGCTTTGGGTCAAAACAGCAGGAAGGACTAACTTGAAATCAGGATGCAAGAGGCAATAAAACCTTCTACTCTGTTAACTTGATATTTTATTCATTTCATAAGACTTTGACTAGCTTAGAATTTATAAAGCACTTTCCATATATTACCTCATTTTACAAGTATTATGTCATCTCCATTTTACAGGCATGTAAGCAAGGTTTAGAGACTAAAATGGTAGGCAACTCAGCTTAGTGGTTAAGACAATGGATTTTGAAGTTGGACAGAACTGGATTTGAATCCCGGCTCCCCTATACATTTGTTGTGACTTTGGGCAAGTTATGCAACCCCTCTGAGCCTCAGATTCCCTTTCTGTAAAATGAGGGCAAATACCACCTACCTCCTGGAACTGCTGTGAAGATTAAATGAGGTAAAATAAATATAAAATACTTTGCACTATAGCTGATATGTAGTTAAGTGTTTAATATGTTGTTTCTATTATTAAGTGTCCAAGCTCAACCAGCTAATGAGGAGGAATGCAGATATTCTGCCTAACAATTTCACACTTTTCACAATAATCTTGCAGTCAGGAAAGTAACTCATATATTCATAAGGGCCCTTCCAAATACAAGATTCTATGTCTTTTAAGAAAAAAGGGGAAAAATTTGCTTCCCTCTTCCCCTCATTCCCCACTTAAAAATGAAGACTCCAAAGTATTCTATATAAAGATCCTCCTTAAGAACTAAAGCATACAGCCACTGGAAAGAAACTTATTTTTCTCCTAATCAGCAAAACTTCATAACTGGAAAACTAGATGTTTCACAAGATACGATCTTAGCCTTTTAAGACTTTTAAAATAAATAGCTTTGGAGGAATTCCCAGAGGCTTCTTCTCTTACTTTGTATATTTACAACCCAAAAACATTTCAGTTTTTCCTAACTTAATGCAAAAATATGAATTCACTCACTTAACACCATAATTTCAGGAAGATATCCAGCACACATTTTGCTAAGTAAACATTGCAAGCATGCCCCTTCTGCCCCAGTGAGTACAAAGACCACGTGGTTTCTCTGGTTCATGCTGTCTTTCCTTCTCAACATTAAATATGTGTTCACAGCAAAATAAACCACCCCTTACTTAAACTGAAGTGGGCAAAATATATTCACATAAAAGCCATCAGCGTGGTTTTGCTTTTAATAGAAAAATCCTCGATTGCTCAATCAAGATATTTAGAGTATTGGTTGGTTTCTAGTCTTCACTAGGACCTGGGACTTGCAAACGCAGGAGAATTAAAATGTACTTGTCTGAACTCCTCCCCCCCAGATCTACCTTCTCACTCAGGAAGATATAGGTTAAAATAGCTTTGGAATAATAACAATTACCTCCAGGCATTTTTCAGGAACACAGGCACTCTGTATATGAAGCAGAATCTGTTGTTCTGGGTCACCAGTTCTCAAGGAAGGAAGGCAGACCCAGGACTGCAGAGGCCCACGTGGAAACAAGCCAGGCAGAGCATTTCACTGCCTTCCTCCAGTCTCCACACAGCCAAGATTAATCACCTTGCCTCTTACACACAGTCCAATGCTGGCTTGAAATAAAGGCCTGCTACCAAGAAATATGGCTTAAATGGAAGAGAAATTCAAAACAATTAGGGAGCAAAATTAAGTGCACACTCACCAGCCCACCACCAAAACGGAGAGAGAGAAAGAGGAGAGACAGGAAGTCGCTTTGGGAAGTGGCCTCAGAGCCTGATTGGCTAATGAGTTAGGATTCCTTCCTC